TACTATATATATATATATATATATATATATATATATATATATATATATATTATATATATATATATATATATATATATATATATATATATATATATATATATATATATATATACATACGGATGACCAAAATCTCAGAATATATATATATATATATATATATACATATATATATGTATATATATATGTATTATTTCTATCACCCGATAATTAAAATGTTGGGTATGTATATACATACGCAACGGAAGAATAGAAAATAAAAATCCTAGAAAATAAAAATCCTAAAATTCTCTTAAAAAAAAGTTTCTTATCGTCGTGCAAAAGTTAGTGCATAAAAACATGCAAAATCGAAAAATAATGCATAAAAGAATTACTTAGAGAGATAGTATATTCCTGAATTCCTACATATTTGTGAGATTGGGTGAAGGAGTTTAAATGCCTCCCTCTATAGCGGTGATCCACATGGTAGGCGCTATAAAGATACTCCTTAAATCATTGCTCAAAACTCTTCTTCGCGTGCACCACACAATCAAGAATGAATTGTCCTTTCTTGCTATCCACACGTCCAAAATAGGGGAGGAGGAGAGGGAGAGAGGAGAATAGGAGGTGGCAACCAAAAAGAACCTAACTCATGGCTCTTTGGTTCCCTCCTATTTATAGAGGCTTCGTGTCAACTTAACACTGATGGATCCTGCCATATTGAGTATTGGATCTCCATCCAACTACCTAAGCCTTTTAGATTAGTGGGTCTCTACCCAATAATCTTTTATTTGTTCTTATTGTATCTCATCCATATGATCCAATAATTCAAGGCTTATTTGATATCCAATAAGATAGGGGCTCTAGCAAATATCTTATATCTGAACCTCTACTCATCGCAACACCTACCATATGTGTATGACCCTCTAGGCCCAATATCGAGCTAGTTGTGAGTCATACATATCTGAACTCCTTCTAACTTAGTAAATTATTATTTCCATAATTATTCACTTAACTCATCGACTACAAACGTACTATGCTACTACGCCGCAATCCCTAGACGTTCAATGTGAATCCAATCTATTGTACTTGTATATCCTCATTTACCGTATATTTATAGTCCCTCATCCATCTAATACCTCAGAGACCGTATACCGGATATGGTGCTGTCATGCCCATATAGTTTCTACTCGAGTCTCGCTCTAATCGAATTCTTTCGGAGAATTCTCTCTCTCAATCTGAATGACATTGACCAAGGATTTGTTTGAGCAAGAATACATAGGATATTCCTCTCATGACACTCAATAGCCCTCGTAAGGTTGGTTACCACTCCCGATGACCGATTGTGTTAGATCTAGAACTTCCAGACCTATAAGTCAGGTATCAAATAGTGGAGTACTCTTACATGACATCATTGATATCTCAAGTTCAATGACTATATACACCACTAGGACTACAGAATCACTGTCTGACAATAAGGTATCATCAACCATCCATCATTCTGTGAGCGGATCAATCAATAAACTCATTCTCCGATGAGCATATGCATTGTATCTTTAGTGTCCCTGCACGAGCAACTATGAGACCAACTGCCTCCATTATATGGATGGATATATAGTATACTAGTATGTCCGGTTATCTCGATGTCTCTCTCGAGTAACCTATAACCGGGATTATTTAGGGTTTATTTTTAAATGTGAGTCGGTCTCATTATCGTGATCTGATTACGATCTGACTCCCGTACAAATTTATGGACATCATAATATATATTTATACAATAAGCAATATAAAATAATAAAATATTAAATAATTTAATAAGTAAAAAAAAGTACGTGTCATACTGCACATGTCATCATTCACATAATTGGCTTATATGGCACATATGACTAGCTTCATCATCTAGCCATAGTAATTTTTTCTACTACTTTTTTTTATTTTTTATAGTAAATATATAATACCATCAATATATATTGATTCATCCAACTATCATCGAATATAATTTTATAATTCTTATAAATACCTTTATCTATCTTTCTAATGAGAAAAAAAATTTATTTGACTACTTACCACTATTACAAGTAATTAAATATTTATATATTTTCTTATAATAGATATTTATAATTATAAAATTATAAAAATTATAAGATTTAAAATTATATCATCATCTTTATTTCTCTCCTCATAATCAAATCCTTCGTATATCCTTTTATATTCACAATAAACATTTCTTGAATGGTATCAAATTATATCATCATCTCGATTATAAACATTTCTTGAATGGTATCATTTTTTTTTTCAAAAATATCTTTTGGTTGATCATCAAAAGGGCATAAGTACTAATGACATTTAAAATATTTTATTATATCAAAAATTTTAGAACTATAATTTTATCTCTAAATATGTTTACATTTATAATATTATTCTTAATATCTTTATTAGCAACAAATCCTACATCATTTTTATATTTACTTTTTTTTAATATATCAAATTTTAAATATAAATAATAATAATTATTTTCTTCTGATCATAATGTTTAGCAATTCTAATATTTTATTTCAAATTGCTAACCTAACTTTTTGTTCTTGGATTAACTTTTTTTTACTTTCATTAGTACCTCGTGTCACTTTAACATTTATATTCACGAAATCTAATATAATTTTACATTCATTGTCATATCTAATATAAATCTTCATCTTTTTCATTCATTCGGACGGACTCGGACCGATATTACTATGTTATCGGGTCAGAACGGTACTTACGAACCAAATCTGGAACCTAAATCTCGTTCTTATTGGGTCAGACAGCAGAACCGGACCCAAACCCGGATCCGAAACCTATCGGGTTCAGATCAAAGCCAGATGTAAACCAGAACGATCGCGACCGTCGGATCTTTCGATGGCATGATGGTGTCCTAGGGTTTTCGATAACGAGTAGCAGCGTCTCCCTTATAAGCCCTCCCCTCCGCTTCGACGCCGCGAAGGCAGCAGCGGAGAAGGAGAGATGGTGAGATGGCCTCAATCTCTCGCTCCTCTACTTGTTTCCTTCAGATGTATTTTCTGATCTTGAATCGATCTGAATTCTTTCGGCTTGTAGTCGTAGCTTGGGACATCTCTACCTCCGTCTTCCTATTCTCTGGCTAGACTTCAATTTCCGGCAGTTGTAGTGCAATTGTTCTGCTAGTCAGTAGGATGTCAACTTCCGGAGGTCCTCTGAATTTATGTATTACGATGTTCTTCATTTCAATCCTGTTCTTCTCTTTTCTACGATTTCTTGAGTTGCTTTGTCCTTCGTGGTCGTCGATCCGTCGCTGCGTGCTTTTAGTTTCTACGGTTTCTTGGTTGATCTGTGTCAAAGCTGATTCACGAAAAGATTGGACTGTGTTGCTCACTATTGTCTGCAGGCTCTTTTGCGCTCGTAGCTGTCTTCTTATTTTGCACAGAGTTCTTGTACCGATAATAACGCCTTCACTCGCAACATCTTATCAGTTGTGGCTCTCAATCTCCTTATTGTTTTTTGATAGATGCCCTTTCTCCATTCTTCCTTTAATGTACATTTCTTAGATGAAATGTTACAGCACAGTTATAGTGGCATCCACAGCTCTGTTTTGTCTGTCTGTAGTCAAATCATTAGATGCATATCTGAATACCTGACTTAAGAATGGTGTCAATCTTTCAGGCCTTTGTCAAGACTCAAAAAACGAAGGCTTACTCCAAGCGCTATCAAGTCAAATACAAGAGACGGAGAGGTAGTATTTATCTTCCAATTTTTATTCTGTTGTTCGAGTGTTGCTGGTAATTTATTATGTCTTTGCGGACTGGACAGAGGGGAAGACCGATTACCGTGCACGGATCAGGTTGATTAACCAGGACAAGAACAAATACAATACACCTAAATATCGTTTTGTTGTTCGATTTGTATCCTCAAAAGAAGATTTCTGTTTTTGACTTTTTGTGCTTCTTTTATTCTTTTTTGTGGTAATTAGGATTAAGTTCTTAACGTGATATGATATCAGAGTAATAAAGATATTTGTGCACAAGTAATATCTGCAAGCATTGCTGGTGATCTGGTTCTCGCATCTGCTTATGCTCATGAACTGCCACAATATGGACTTGAAGTTGGTCTTACTAACTATGCTGCAGGTAATATTTTTTTGTTTTCCTATTTATGCATGTTCTTAGTTGTTAACAAACCATATTTGTTGGTGATTAGCCTATTGCACTGGACTTCTCCTGGCAAGGCGAGTCCTGAAGATGCTTGAAATGGATGATGAATACCAGGGGAATGTAGAGGTATGTGTTCCATGTTTGTTGTTTTTACATATAACTAAAATGTTTTCTGTCTAACTTGCCTAAATGTCTTGGTCAGGCCACTGGCGAGGACTTCTCTGTTGAACCTGCTGAGAGCAGGAGGCCCTTCCGTGCTCTGCTTGATGTTGGCCTTGTGAGGACAACAACTGGCAACCGAGTGTTTGGTGCTCTTAAGGTAATTATCTTCTCATTACTAAAATTTCATTTTTTGCTTTATGAGCTTCTGTGCTTCCAAATTTATCTCAATTTTCTTTTCTGTGATGGGATGCTGCTTTGCCTTTAATAACTAGGCCCCATC